TGTGTGTCTGTGTGTTTCAGATGAGTCAGAATTGTATATAATTGCTGTGCTGCTGATATTGGCCAATTACCTTGCACCATCTTGGCTTTCCCTGAAAGATATTTGATGGTTAAAGCTTTTGTCGGGACTAGCTGCTGCTCACTCTTTTAATCAGGCGTTAAATGCTGATGCACATCCTGCCGGAAGAGTTTAAAGGGGGGAAAAAAAACAGGGAGTGTGAATGAAAAGTTCAAACAGGCTGAGACTTTTGGCATTGTGCACCGCCTACAGATAGATCAAATGTCCTTATAAGGGTGTAGGAAGAAGGGAGAGGATTTGGAAAGGCATTGTGTGGAATTTTCTGTTTAGATGAAGCAACAAGATATGTTTGACCTGTTAAAAGTATATCACTATAACAAATCAACTACATAACTTGTTAATAAGCCAGCTCTAAAGGTGCTGGTGAGGAGATTTTGTTACTGTGCTGCCAGGCTAGCTGTTTCTAAATCTATTCCTTTAAGAATACAGAATATGAAATGTGGATGGATTAAAGTGCTGGGTGTTATAATCTTTTGGAAGGTCGTCACCTAAAAGTGATCTTTGCACCTTCATCGGACATAAAGGTAATTTGACTGAAACATAGCTGTCCCCCGCTGTCCATCACTAAGAGGGCTGTGTCATGGGTTGCTTTGCTGGTGAAATTGTAGTGGTCTTATCCAGATTGAGTATGTAATGTAATGTAATCATTAACATTACGATTGTTATCATTACACTACTAAATAACTGTAGCATTTTCCATTTAGTCTATAGCAACATCACCTTTACTGTCTGTACCTCTTGTGTTATTGTGTAGGCTGCCTCCCTCCCTCTCTCTCCTTCCATCCCTCTCTTTTTCTCTCTGTTCCTCTCCTGCCCTCTCTCTCCTCTCTCTCTCCCCCCCCCCCCCCCCCCCTCCTTCACCCCAACCGGTCGAGGCAGATGGCCGCCCACCCTGAGCCATGGTTCTGCTCGAGGTTTCTGCCTCTTAAAAGGAAGTTTTTCCTTGCCTCTGTCGCCTAGTGCTTGCTCTTGGTGGGAACTGTTGGGCTTCTGTAAATAGCATCATATGAGTATGAGAGTATGGTCTGGAGACTGCTCTTTTATGAAAAGCGCTGTGAGATAACTGTTGTTGTGATTTGGCGCAATTGCCAAATCAATTGAATTGAATTGAATTAATGCTTCTGATACATGCCATTCAACATTATAACAAACCAGAACACCCTTTGAGTTACCACAACACGTCTGTCAGAGAATAAAAAGGAAGAGATTGTTGGAAAACTATTGATCTGCCCTTCTCAGGCTTCACATAGACTAGTGAATGTAATAAATAACTTCTTTTGTGTTTTAACAAAACAAGATCAGAATAACAATAGGTTAATTGAAATACCAATAATAAATAGCAAAGGCAATAGAAGAAACAAACACACATAAAAATAAATTATACCAGCAAAGTCAACCCAAATTAAAAGCCAAGTAAATAGATTTGTCTATAACATCTTTTAAAACATGCCAGCAGGAGGAGTTTGCTGTTCTAAGATCCAAGGAGAGGGTGCCATAAAAACAGAAAGCAGCCTCACCAGATTTCCACTTTAGGAACTTGTCAAAGAAAGGCAGCAGAACAGGCTGAGAATTCTTCCGAAAATCTCTTGTTCTTGACATAAATTATAAGGCAGCTGCTGATATATATTAAGGTGCTAGATTATTTTAGGCTTTGTAATTAAGTAAAGGGACTTTAAAATCAATTGTATTTTAGGATTTAAAGGAACGTAAAAGAAAATCCTTAACCCAAACAAACCCTTTCTTTTAGATGTTTAAAAACCTTAGGCTTGAACTGTTAAAGCTTATAAGCTTGTACACACAGAGCATCCAGGGGTATTTTGCTATTATTTGCAAAGCCAACTGTCAACACACCAAGTTTACTTAGATAACCTTCCATTGTGTGTTTTATTGACCTGGAAACTAAGCAAGTGAAAGCATGTCAGACCCAGATACATCTTAAAAGATGTAGAACTTGTATTTTAACATAGCCGAAGTAGAATTTTGTGCATTACTATTCCTTGAAATACAAGGATGTCAAAAGTGCACCAACATAAGCCATGAAGCTAAAAACAAGCACCTAGTCCAATTTTATGAAAATTTGGGTCAGGTTTTTTTCTCTCTTTCATACACACGCTCCTTTAGGTATGTGACCTTTAGGCTTGATGTGCTGCGACTTGCCTTTCCTTTGATTTCCAACTCTTTCTCAGCTTCCTATAGATGCCCTCCCACTGCAATCTCACACCTGTACTCCTGCTGGCACTGTCATTACCCCACCACCACCTGCCACAAAGTGTGCTGGAGGATGCAGCACTGTTTTGAAGTTTTGAAGAGAATTTCAGGCTCAAGTCTAACATAGTTAACACAATTATAATAGACAGGCTATAATAAAAAATATTTAGAGTGTGTGCACACAAATTATATATATAATCATTTCTCTTTTTCTTATCTTTGGCTAGTCCATAGTTCTATTGAGCTATGCAGGTTCTCTAGATTTTATGTGGTTGTGAGAAATCCTCATCTGAAACTTGTTCATGTCAACTCAGTTCAATCGGGGTGGAATTTTGTTTTGCTCGCAGCACTAACAAATTACATACTTTGAACAAAAGCTGCTTGCTTCTACTTTTACAAGCTTGTAAAAACTCTGACTGACTTTTCTTTTATACACTACGGAACACTTCTCTGACTATTTACTGCTGAGTGAACTAAGTGTGATCAATCAGTCACTGAAACCTCCTTAGAAGAGGCAGACAGATAAATGAAATAAAACAAAAACAAATAAAAACAGTAAGATTGGATTAACTTTCTTGTCAATAATTGTGAAAATGAAAACAGTGGCAGGCCAGGAACACCTGTATGAAAAAAATGCAGTTATAGCAAATTATCAAGATGCAACATGTTCTAAAAGGTTTAAATGTTACATTATTATAATAATAACCTAAATTATAATTTCAATGTTTTGTTTTAAATAAATAGCTGCTTGGTCCCGGCACTTTAAAACAGTAAAGGGCAGTAAATGAAGTAGCAGCTGAAAATTCAAAATGGCAGCCCAATTAGCTTCATTCCAGCAGAAATGCTGAAAGCTTTGGATATGGAGGGGATATCTTGGATGACTAGCCCAAGGAGGAGCAAACCAGGGTGATTGTTCCCTTGTTCCGCCAGGGCTGCTCTTTGTCACCAATCCTGTTTGTGATATTCATGAACAGGGTATCGAGGCGGGGGGTTGGGTTGCGGTTCGGTGGGCTGTGGATCTCATCGCTGCTTTTTGCAGATGATGTGGTCCTCTTAGCATCAATCGGTCCGTAACCTTCAGCACTCACTGGATCTGTTCGCAGCTGAGTGTGAAGCCGCTTGAATGGGGATCAGCACCTCTAAATCTGAGGCCATGGTTCTCAGCAGGAAACCGATGAAGTGCTCACTCTGGGTAGGGAATAAGTCCTTACCCCAAGTGAGGGAGTTCAAGTACCTCGGGTCTTGTTCGCGAACGAGGGGACAATGGAGTGGGAGATGGCTGGAGAATCGGAGCAGCAGGGGCAGAATTGCATTCGCTCTACCGCACTGTTGTGACGAAAAGAGCCGGAACAATACCGGTCAATTTTCGTTACTACCCTAACCTATGGTCATGAAGGCTGGGTCATGACCGAAAGAAATAAATTGTGGGTACAAGCGGCCGAAATGGGTTTTCTCAGGAGGGTGGCTGATGTCTCCCTTAGAGATGAGGTGAGAAGCTAAGTCATCCATGAGGAACTGCTGCCCCCGAGCCCGAACCCCAGATAAGCGGTTGAGGATGGATGGATGAGACTTTTTGTGTGATATGGTGCCTCAGCTCTTTCCCCCCGAGTAAATGTTATATTTCATGATTTTCAAGAGTTTGTTATGACGTTAGCAGGGGCAGTCTGTATTTTAGGAAAGGTAGGCTCAGGAAATTTTTTTCAGGATAAAGTGTCAGCAGAGGGACAGCAAGTTCTAACACCTTTCATACTGTAGTAATGTCTGAGTTAGGGTTGGGCAATATCTGCAAAATTTCCATCGGACGATGTCTACAATGAAACATCGGGATGGACGATGTCATCGGGTGCGCAGGAGGCAGCAGTCATCTCATGTGTTCTCGCGCAGACTTCACTCGGTAAAACAAAAAAAAGGTAGACTATTAAAGCGAGCACCAGATAAAGCAGTAGGGAACATGTTGATTTCAGTTGTTTGATTGGCTACGTCATTAATAAGCTGATGTGCGGCTCACCTGCTGCCGTGACAACGGATCACAGGAGGAAATATACGGAAAAAAGACGAGTTACATACTACTGATGGTGAAAATGGAGCAGAGGGGGGCGAGAGAGACAGAGACAGGCGGGGCAAGCCAGGGTGTTTTCCTGACATGTGTGAGTGTGTCAGAGTGTGGGAAGAAGAGAATTCAGAGGCAGGTGCAAAGCATAGGCTACTTAAAAACAATGATAAGAATGTTCGTGGGCATTAAAACCTGCTTTCACAGGATGGTATAATGTGAAAATGTGAGATTTTTTTGCTGGGGGGCAGGGGTGCACGATGGCATCTTCTATCGGCCCAACCCTAGTCTGAGTAACATTTCTGTTGAGTTTTTGATATATAATTTTTGACTGTTTTAAGCACCAGATATCTCAAAACAGTATCACATAAAACCTAAATAATGTGCAGAGCTCATCACTTCTTGAGGTAGGTGAGATTTTTCTTTTGTGAATTGACTCCCAATGTCCTGTTTCCTCTCAGGTGATGCCACGGTGACCATTGCCCACAGATGTACACCGAAGGAACAACTGAAGGAGATAACCCGCCTGGCTGACATCATTATTGCAGCTGCAGGTAATTACACCCCAGACACCATCACCATTTTCTCTCATGTATATATAATGTTACAATATTGGATGTTTATATTAAATGTGGATAAAGTTTCAAATAAAGAGGTAAGCGTATGCAAAAGTAATCCCTCAGAGCAGAAAGGTCAGGCTTCATACTGCTCTGAATACTAGGTGTAGTGGCTAAGTCCCCACTTAAAGCCACTGAGGGTTGCATAGACAGGCATCTAATTGAGGCGCTCTCCCAGCCACCATAGCCCACTCCAGTGTGATACGATATAATGTTGTTTGCACTTGCCCTTTTGTTTGAATATTTATTGTTCATCGATGATGGTCTTCAGGTAAATACAATAATCCATACTGCCATCCATTGAATGTTACACATTTTCATACAACACTTGTACGGAGCCGCCATTCGTAGCGTGCCAGAGCGAAGCGGTCAAAAAACTATAAGTGCTCCCCTCCGTCCAGCAACACCTGTCAGCTGTGCAAAGATTCCTACTTAAATTACCTTTGACCCAAAACAGACAGGAGCCACCTACTGGCCCACTAGAGTACCGTACCCAACACAAAAATCCCATAAATGGCTCTTACACATAGACTGTATATAAAAAGCTCTCACACTAGGTTTCCAACATTTTGTTCTACTTTCCTACCTAGCTCACGCCAGCTAGGCAGTGGTGTCCTTATACAGCCATCTGCTCGTGATCTGCTGCAGAGCTGCTCAGTCTGTCTCAGTATTCTGCTCGTAGCACTTTCTCGAGCAGCACTAAAGCTAAGTGTGCTCTGCTCAGCACTACTCTTCAGGTTTTTGGGACTTGAGAAAGTGCTTTTCGGTTGTGAAAGAAAGTGAGTTAGTTTCTTGATAGACAGATGGCTTTACTTGTTGCTAAAGTAACCGCTAACTACTGCTAATGGTAGCTGTTGTTAGCTAGTTAGGTCAGTTAGCTCAGTTAGCCATGCAGCTAGAGGCCCGTCTGTTTGGAAATTCCATAAAATGTGATCCAGTTTCACTAAAATCTGTGAATGAAGTTCTAAATTATGTGTGTTTTTGTACAGTAATCAGTGAGGCTCCGAGCAGATCGGCCAGGCCAATACATCAGCCCCAGAAACACTCTGCTCTGGCGGCGTCCACCGGTTTTCCCAAATAATCAAATTCAGCGCCCCATATCACTGTTTTCCAAGTTAAAACTGTCATTTGCCATCGAGCACACTGCCAAGAGAATGAGGCAATGCATGCTCACTGCACTGGGTGTATCGAGAGAATGACTAATAAATTAATCAACTAGTCATTTTATTGCAATTTGTATTGATCAATAATGTTATCGGTACTTGGTTTGGGGTTTTATATAGTTAATCTGTAATATTGTATTACTGTTAAAATCTGACAAGTACACAACAATTTTGAATAGAGTCGATTAAGTAAATATAAACTATTTTTGAATCAGATTGTTGCCTTTTTGATTTGTTTCAAAAACTAATTTCTTTTATTTTCACGCAAGGTTGCAGTGTCTGTACACTCTCTAACAGGGAGCCCAGCAATGTCCATTAAATTTGTCTGTTGTTTTGTAAGCACAACTACTGTAGAGATATTGATGCACTTGGTCACTGCACAATCAAATGGAAACTTACACACAGTCTAAGTAATAACTTTATCTTTCATCTTTGTATTCACTTTTGAATAACTGGACATTGTTTAACTGGAGAGTTTAAAATGTGTGAGCCAGCATCAGATGCCATTTCGTTATTTTGAACAGAGGGAATTACGTGGCATGATGACGTAACATGCAAGAACAATTGTGAAAGTGCTCACTAGCCCTCACTTGATGTGATCTTGCCTGAAGTTTCGGTATAGTTATCTGTGACTCTGCTGTCACAGCTTTTTTGAAAAACAGTAGTGATCTGTGGCAGCTGGAATGTGAGACAATGCGGGGCAGAAGTATCAGTCCAAAGTCTCCAAAGTAACTTTATATGCCTAAGGCGGTTTATAGTGCCTTTCCCTGATGACTAAACGCAGCTCTCTGTCTAGGGCATCTCATTTTCTTTTCATCCACCGACATTTGGAAATCAATTATACTGTGCTGTATGATTATGTGGACCCCAGCGTACAACTATCAAAAACTGTTTTCATAGGAGGCTGAGGTATCAACTTATTCTCCTATGCTGCCTTTTAAGTCTGAAGCGAAGTGGTAATTGTCATGGTATTCTACTAGTGATTAAAAGGAGATGAAAAGCATCGCTACAGATAGGAAAAGAAAACTCTCCATTCAGCCATTCAGTGGCTGATATGAACTCTATGGAACCAGCAGAAATGTTTATCTCTATTCTGATGTGGGTTGTGGGTTATGTAGTGTCTGCAGATGAACTTTAATGTCTGGTTGTCTGAGTCGAGTCAACATGTTCAGCATGAGCAGCCGAACAGTTTGATTAATTGTAACTTTGGTATTTGCAGCACTAAATCACATTGTCAAGGTCCTGCTTTATTGCCTGGTCTTGAGATGCTGTGTTGAAGAAGGACCCTGTGGCAAAGTCTCATCTCAAAGATCTAAATAATTTCAGATGATCTTTAGCTCGCAAGGTGCACATTAAATTCATTTGTGTTTAATCACGTTACCACAACACTTGGGGCCAGGTAGTTCTCCAGGAATAATGCTCACAATGCACAAACAGAGGGGGAGGGGACATCTTTTCTCGGAACAATTAACAAAGCTTTAAATTAGTATCTTCTGTAACTGTAAACCCCTCCTTGGTTTCTGTGCACAGGTGTTCCTGGCCTGATTACAGCAGACATGGTGAAAGAGGGTGCAGCAGTCATCGACGTAGGCATCAACCGGATACAGGACCCGAAAACTGGAAAACTCAGACTCATCGGTGACGTGGACTTTGAGGGTAAATAATCAAAAAGTTATTAGAAATTCTTCAGAAAGGAACGTTTCTGTGAAACTGTGTTGCGAATAAAGTGAACAAAGCTGCAGCTTTCAGTAAAAAAAGGTTTAAAACATTATGTCCTGTAGTGTAATACCACTTGTACCTCAAGAGGCGATAGTCTGACAGTAAAGCTCGGGCCTACCCCCACACAGTTTCAACTGGGAGATGTTTACGAGCGGCGAGTTCTATTCGTTACACAGGCTCTCTTAGCTCATTTAGTCTAATATATAAACAAAATAAACGCATAAAAATAAAAGAAATGAATTTATTTCTACAAAACTGGTGTATCATGTTAGATTTCCTTAATGTAGCTTTTTGTGTCTGTGAAAATATCCGCTCTCACCACAGTGCTAATAGGATTAACACACTACAAGTTTATTAACACAGACAAATAAATTTCTGAATTCTGAATGTCCTGTAGTTTGCTGTATTTAATGTTGTTCCACAGAAATACAAGTCTAAACAGAGAGATAGATTTATAATTATCTGTCGGTCATAGCTCTAGTTCTTCAAAGTGACTTGACTCCATGTGAATTGTTTGACTTGTTGTAGGAGTGAAGGAGAAAGCAGGTTTCATCACACCTGTTCCTGGAGGCGTGGGTCCGATGACAGTCGCCATGCTGATGAAGAACACTGTGACTGCTGCCAGAAACGCACTGATGCATTAAACACACATAATAAAGCCGGTCACTTTGTTGAATGATATAAATATGCATACACACACACACACACACACACACACACACAAAACGCATCCTTTAATTTAGGTTTATGCACACACACGTTTATTTAAAAAGACTCCATATCTGCTGGGAAACTTACTTGATGATGTACTTTGTTTATATTTTGAATTTGTTCATTTATTTATTTAAGTTATTTATTTCAGAGTTCACTTTTTAAGAATTTAGATTAATATTTTTCTACTGAAGTCATTTTGGTTCATTTTTGAACATCCAGATTCACTGGAAAAGGAATATTAAATAAAAAAACAATGCTGTGCAAATACTACAATGTATTTTTCTGATTTACCGGTGACTCTTTTGGCATTTTGCCTTTATTCAACAGCGGAAACTGTAGTGAGAAGGGTATAACAAGCAACAAAGGTCACATTTTAGTTCTCTTTAATTCCTCAGGGAGACCCCTCCAGTGGACTGTTTGATCACTTAACAAGTCCTTGTTAATGGCTGTTGAGCAAGTTTGACTGTGGTTAGTTAGTATTAGTAGTTTGTTAGTAGTTTAGTAGATCTATTATAGGTTACTTGGAAAATGGGACTTTGATTCATGCTTATTTTATCTCACACAGATTTGCTGTTATTCATCACATATCACTTGAAAAATTCATCAAAGGAGAATGGGAATTCATTTTATGATTTACGTGTAAGCAAGGATTTCCCACAACCTGACAAACCAAAGTTTATTCTTATTAATGACTGATCTATAAAGTATTAGAGTAAATAATGTATTAACCATTATTAAAGCTGGTAATTACAGCTCATAACCCCTTTATATTGGGTGTATTAGAAAGTGGTTCTTGCATAAAATGAGATTTCCAAATAACAACTGGAGGGCAACTCAACTATGTTGGCCAGCATCACTGGAGAAATCCCAGGTTTGGCTGCCATCCAGTAAAAAAATGCTTCACTTTGTCTTTACAGCTTCTGTCAGGTACAGGCCATACTGTATTTGTCACCTTCCTAATTTCTCATATTTTTGCATATTTACTTGAATAAACACAAAATACAGTTTTGGATTTTAATTTTATTTATTGAAAGAAAAAGAGTTATCACCTACGCATATCACCCATGAGAAAAAGTAATTGCCCACATAAACTTAGTAACTGGTTATGCCACCTTTAGCAGGAACAACTGCAACCAAATACTTGGGATAACTGGAGATAAGTCTTTCACATTGCTGTGGAGGAATATTGGCCAACTTTGCAGAACTTATCACAACTGCAATCGCTGTGAAAGGACTCAAAAGCAAGTCTGACAGGCAAAGTTTGGTCCACAGGAAGTCAGTCTAAACAGCAAAAGTATCCAAATCAAAGGGCGAAAGGCAGAGTTGAGGTTCACAGAACAAAAGGTCTTTGACTGTCACTAGGAAATACAAAAGAATGCTGGGACGCTTACTACATGGAGTCGCGACAAACTGGCACAACAAAGGGGGACAGACAAACACAAGAACACTAGTGAAGAGGGGATAACGAGGTGCAGGGGAGATGAATCAGGGTATGGCAGGTAATCAGGACTTTGACTAGGCCACTCCAAAACCTTAATTTTATATATTTTGAACCATTCAGAGGTGCACTTGGATTCTGTGTAAATATGCTTTGTTACTGCATGCAAATGTTTTATTCGCCCATTCACTCGCATAGAATGAAAGTGAACAGGAGGCACATTTTCTTTTCACCAATTAATTTTTTGCGCATTTTTGTGTCATTCTCCAGTCGTGCTTGGGCTTCAGATCATGGACCAATGACCGCACATCATCCCTCAGAACTTTCTGGTAGAGAGCAAAATTCATGACTGCCAATTATGGCAAGTCGTCCTTGTCCTAAAGCAGCAAAGCATCCCCCTGCCACCCCCATATATGACTGTTGGGATGTAAAGGGACCCGGTTATCAATTCAGTGTGGTTTACTGGTTGAATGAGTAACTAAGAGGACAATTTTCACACAGGCCATTTGGTGTTTGATAACTTTTTTTCCTTCAGTAAATCAAATGAAATGAAAATTTTGTGTTTACTCATGTTATCTTTGTCTTAAATTCAGTCTTGATTGAAAAACACAATTAAGTGACAAATATGCAACAATAGAAGAAATCAGGAAGGGGAAAAATACTTTTTCACAGCACTGTATTTCTCTATATTTCTTATCTATGCATCCTCTCTTTACCTGTGTTGTCAAAATCCTTCCTTCTGTAATCACCCCTCTGATGAAATTACAGATTTCACAACACCCATGAAGCAAATTCTTAAAACTGTAAAGAAAGCATTTGAGTGGAACTATCCAACTGTGTGCCAAAGGATTGCGCGAATCCAGAGACTTCCAGGGAAAGAAACCACATTTAAAGAGCCTCTGGGTAATCACATGCCCTCACCAGCATCATCATCAAGCTCTAAGCCTTGCCTCTGCATGCAGAGCGTCGGTGCAAATGCAAACACATTTTTTGGAAGGACACGCTTCTCATTTTTCAAAAAGCCTTGGCTCATTGATCGTCATTTTCAGTGGTTGGGAGCTCCCTATATAAGCTCACCAAAAGCCGGTTGAGGGTCACATCGCATAGGCAGTTGGAGTTGAGCTGAGAACATCAGACATCGCGCTGACAGAAGACAAGATGTTTATACAAAGACAGACATACCTGGAGAAGGGTACGTTTCTAGTTTACTCTTTGATGTCAGATTTTAAAATGAGGTAGTCATTTTGTCCTTGAATACAGCAAATCTATTGACGTGTGTGTTTTGGTGACATACTCCTTTCCATAAACGTATACAAAGGAATGATGCTATACCAAGTTACAGCCAGTGTTTTCTCTGATTTGTGATCACAGTGGTGCCAGGATCACATAATTTGTAACAAGGATAGTGACTAGAAAACAATGTGTTTTGCAGCACAAAACCAAAAAAAATCACAATTTTCACATAACATAATCTAAATTCATATTCTCTGTTCTTCCCAGCCCTCTTCTCAGCACTGTCGATGCTTCTGCTCTTCACCACGGTAGGAAAATCTGCAATGCTGACTGACAACCTCCAGACCACAGCAGCGCCTGCTTTGTCAAACTCATCTCTGAGCACGCAGCTCAACAACAGTAAGTGTCTTCAGAGGAGAGTTTAATATGGAAAGGTGTTTAATCTCTGATTTAGCTGATAGACTAATGTTTATCTTGTGTATACAAGTTAATAATTTGTGTGCACAAGATAAACATTATCCATCTTGTGCAAATGAATGATACCTATACATATATATATGTGTGTGTGTCTATATATGTATATATATGTGTGTATATATATGTATATATATATGTGTGTGTGTTTTTATTAAATTAATCAAATAATCACTTAATTTATTAATTAGTCAGTTATTTAAAGGCACAAATGGGCCCCCATATTTTTATGTTAAAATTGTGTGATTGATGGAGCTTCTCTCTCTCGCTCTCTCTCTCTCTCTGCAGACAGTATGGAGGAACCTATGGTTCTGCGCTCACACAGATCATGTGGAAGTGAACATGTAAACTACTGTGAAAATGGTGGAGAGTGCATGTACCCTCAAGACAATGACCAACCTTTTTGCATGTAAGGAGCACAAGCGCACACACACGTTAAAGCCTTGCCTATAGGTTCCCTGTGTATCCTGAATATGTTTTTCTTATGATCAGTAAAAACACTTCACATGTTGGTTCATGTTCACCTTTGGAATGCTCATATTTCTCTTTCTGGTCTGCAGTTGCAAGTCTTCGTACAGCGGGCATCGCTGCCTGTTCTTCAGTGAACGCTCTCACACTCTGCCCGAGTTAGAGCAACTGATTGGCATCATTTTTGGGGTGGTTATTCTCTTCTTTGTCCTGGCCATCATAATTTACTGCTTCGCCAGTAAGAGGTGAGTATCTACAGGCTTTCACCTTACAATGCTGTACTTGCATGAAGGAGTAGGGCATGAAGGGGCATGGGGAAATGTCGTACTATAGATCTCCGAGGTGGATTAAAATCAAGGGCAATTGGACATGGTTGACTATACTCTAAGACATCCTCGAGCATCTTCAGTCAAGTCCAGTTTCCCCTTTATTTTAACCCACCTTGGAGATCTATAACCTGGATGACTAAGAATCTTCATAGATGTAGTATTATAAATTTAAAGCCTCAAAACTTCCTGACTCTGAACATGTTGTCTTTGTCTCTCAATGACTGATAAGTGAGGCAGTCACATTTAAGTCATGGCATATTGTCTGGGATTTCTTCCTACCATCAAGCAAAATGATGAAGATTCAGTTCTTTGTTGGTTTACAGTTGTTTAAGTTTACTGTTTGATTAAATTATAAAATAAACAAGTTCACATTTTTGTAATTTTACTGTGTGTGAAAAACAATGCTTAAAAATGTCTCGAATGGGTACCAAGAATAAGTGAATAAGTTCTAATTCGGATTCTTCTTCTTTTTATTTTTTTTCAGGTGTAAAAAATCGGTACCGCTGATAAAATCTGCACCATCTGAGTTGTCGGTGTAACCCCCACAACTAACTCTTTGTCATCATCATTGTCACCACTTTCAGTATTATCTCTCAGTGGAAAAAACATAAACCATAATGTTTTATCATACTGTATAAGCCACAGCACAGATTTACAAAGCAATTAAGAGACTAGAAGATTAATCTGCCTTTTGATGTTGAACAAGGTCAGATATTAATCACTTTATTGCCTTTAAAGATTGAGGGAGAACAAATATGACTTTCTATCGTAATATATCATCCATCCATCCATCGTCAACCGCTTATCCTGTACAGGAGGGGCTGGAGCCAATCCCAGCTGACATCAGGCAAAAAGTGGGGTACACCCTGGACAGGTCGCCAGTCCATTGCAGGGCCACACATAGACAGACAACCACACCTAAGGACAATTGAGGGTCACCAATTAACCTAGCCTTTGGAGGAAGCTGGAGCACCTGGAGAGAACCCACGCAGACAACATGGAAACTCCACACAGAAAGAACGGAACCCACGACCTTCTTTCTGTGAGGCGACAGTGCTAACCACTGCACCACCACACCACTGCACCACCACACCACTGCACTGCCCATATTGTAATATATCAATTAATTTATTTAAAGCGTTAATATTTTGTAATAAATGTAATGAATGTTTTCTATTATAAATAAATAATATGTACAAATGGTATAAAAAACAGTCTAAAGAGCCTGTACAGCATCATGTCAAAATAAAAAGGTGTCTTTAAAATACTTAACGAATGAAGAGTTATTACAGACCTGTTCCTATTACATTACATGCCCTAAAGGAATA